GTTAAGGTCAGTGCAATTATTTTTCTGACATATCGTTTACAAATTATACCGTCTGTTTTTGTTGATTACACTCAAATTGGCCAAACCAGCAGATCATAGCAAAGGTTAAAATTGACCTCAAACAAAGATGAATAAATAAGTTTTCAGAAGTGATCTGCGAACAGTTAAACCCCTTCAACTTTCTTAAAAGTGATGGCTTTTTTACACGTAGTAGTGTCTGTATTGGGTGTCAAATTCGATTTATGTCATCTAAAATGGTGCCAATACTTGTATTGGCATTACCACAGCCAACGCGTGCCGTTAAATGTTTGAAGCAGTGGTGGGAGGATGCGACGAAAGTCAATACACATTCTTTGGTTTTACGACGTTGAGTTTTAAATATGAGTCTTTGCACCATGATAAAAATAACCTCGTGATCCTGCAGACAGACTATTATCACAGAATCACAGCATACTTAATATATTGCCTTGATTCAACATACTCTGAAGTCATTGGGTGTAGGAGTACAATAAAAGTGGTGACAGACACACCCCTGAGGTGACCCTGGTGGAGCACATGAGGGCCTTAGATAAGTGTTATTTACCGGGTTCTCTGTGACTCATAGATTAGGAAATCAACCAGCCAGCATATGGTACCAAAGTCAATATCAGAGAACTGCAATAGTCTGCTGAGCAAAAGGATATGGGGCTGCATACAGTTTGAATGCTGATGAGAATCAACAAAACACAGGCGTGCATGTGTCTTCTTGTTCAGACAGAGACCAGAGTCCGTTCACTAAACGGCTCATTTAAGGTTTTGCTGATGTTCAGACAGAGAACCAGAGATCCGTTCACTAAACGGCGTCATTTTAGGTCTGCTTGGTGTTCAGGACAGAGACCAGGAGTCCGTCCATAAACAGCTCATTTAAGGTTCTGCTGGTGTTTCAGACAGAGACCAGGAGTCCGTTGCACTAAAGGCTCAGTTTAAGGTTCTGCGATGTTCAGACAGAGACAGCACTAAACGGCTCATTTAAGGTTCGGCTGAACGTTAGCAGAGAGACACATTAAAGCTGTATTCACGCTGTTAGTGTCACACTCTGTCAGAACTCCACAGTGGGAAATAAACTCGTCTCTGTCGGAACCTCGGAGCCATTTTAGGGTCCACTTTAGCTTGTGGAGGCTAGTTAGTTAGCTGACTAACTGGACGGTCGTTTTTAAGGGTTCATTTCGGGGTCAGAGTTCAGATATTTGGGGAGTAACTTACTTTGGTGTTGTGCAGAAGTCTTTGTGATCAGATGTTCTCTCCACATTCAGCAGCTTTCTGTTGTTTCCGGTTGTTTTTGTTGTTTTACACACAGGCGGATCAGCTTTGTTTACACTAGCTAGTTAGCTTCTTCTGCTAATGTTTACGGCAGAGTCAGCTCACTGACGGCACAGCGGCGCCGCCTGCAGGCCGGAGGGTGCAACTACACACTCACTACATTTATATTTATATCTATAATATATATAATATCTATATCTATAACTATAATATATATAATATCTATATCTATAACTATAATATATATAATAATATCTATATCTATAACTATAATATATATAATAATATATAATAATAATATATATATGTATAATAAATATAATAATATAATGCATAATAATAACTAACCTTAATAACTATACAAACTACTATTTCTTTTTATTTTATTGACTCATTTTCTTTTTTTTAAAGTAGCAGAAAGGGAATACACCTTGTTTTTCTAAATGACAATAAAATAATCTTTAATCCTTTAATGTTTTGACCTACGATCTGTTTTTTGTGCTTACTGAAATTATTCAGAGTAAACAGAACAAAACCTTCTAATTTAGTTACATAGTTACATTTAATTCATTACTCCTCATGCCTGCACTTATTTAATATGATATATAATAATGTATTAATATATGTTAACAGCCCAAATAAATGTATTCTTTCTCATTTAAAATATGTTCTTCATTTTAAAGTGAGCTCTCGTAATCTTTTGTTTTTTAAATAATCACAGTTTAAGTTTAAGGTTAGTTTATTTGTGTACATATATACACAAATAAACAATATATAAATATATAATTTAGGCTTTTTCTCACTTTAGTTTTTCATGTGTTTCACTGTAAAACTAAAAAAAGTTTATTTAACTCAAAAAGCAGTTTAAACTTTTTCCATCAAACTTTTTTTTAAATTAAAAAACATTCTTAAGCACCTTTGTTAATAATTTAACACTAAATTAGTTTTATATGTAACAGACAAATTCCTCATTAATAACTTTTAACTGTATTTTGTTTTTACAGTAGAAATAAAAATGACAAATTAAGTCACTTAAAATTACTAAAACTACTTTATCAAAGATGTTTTTAAGATACAAAATTTAGTCAGTTTCACTTAAAATTAAATATTTTCAAGTTCAATTAACTTAGAATTAACTTATTATTATTATTATCTTATTTATCAGGTCTTTTTTCATTTATTGTTGTCTTACTTGTACAATAAAGATGAAACTGTTGCAGTGAGTAAAGCACTCGTATGAATAAACAAACACATCCTGATATACAACATATTCCTTTATTGTTGTTACTGATAAATCTGTCACTTTCCCATTTTGAAAAAAGAAAAAAGAACAACAATGAAGAAATAAAACAACACCTGTGTTTACTTCCTGTACAGCCAGATTAGCATCTATAATCTCTCTTTAATAGTTTCACTGTACACATTAAAGAACAACAATAATTTACAGGCAAACCGGACCCGACGACAGTTTGGGTTCAGGTCTCAGTCTGAAGGTTCAAGCTCTGCTTTTGGCCACTGAAGACGACAAAATATAATAATCTGAAAATATAGTTTGACTGACACAGTTCAGCTGCCTACATCACTACTGGCTAGTGTTACTGCTGATAAGTGACGTCCAAACATTTGTCTATAATCTGCTTATAATCAAAGTGTAAAATGAGATTCAGTTATTGGCAAAAACACTGATTCTATTGCTCTGAAATAAAGTTGACTGATGTGAATGGAGTCTGGTGTTAATCAGCTTTATTGATGAATCCTGGTTCTTTTCACATTATTTAAAAATAATATGAGGGGGAAAAGCAGCTTTATTTTATTTTCTTGACTTTCATTTCTCTCGTTTCGGATCAACCAGACTCCATTCAAAATGTATTTAAAGGTCCAGTGTGTAACACTGAGGAGGATTATAAATAAAATATTAACAGGTGTGTTTTCATTAATGTTTAATCACCTGAAAATAAATATCGTTGTGTTTTTGTTACCTTAGAAGGTTTTTATCTACAGAGGGAGCGGGTCCTCTTGTGGCGGAGTCCGCCATGTTTCTACGGTAGCCCATAACAGACAAACCTAACACTGACTCTAGATAAGGACCTTTCATGTTTTTTGGGGCCACCGTAGTTTCCTTCACACTGGTCCTTTAAGGAATCCTGGTTGAGTTCTCGTTGGATTCTTTGAGTGTGAAAATAAACCAAAATATAAGCAAAAAAATCTGCTTTATTTTATTTTCTTGACTTTCATT